GAAGATGTCATCCATCAAGGTGAGGAGGACATGTGGCTCCACAGTATTGGCCTGCACAGAGGATGACATCACATCTTGAAATCAGGAAAGAGGGAGCCTGAGCTCAGACCATAAGTAGATATAGACATAACCTTTAAGACTTGGGCCTAGCACTTTACTTCTGCTCCCAAAGTTTCCATAATGTTCCACAGCAGCACAGTGCCATGAACTGATGACCAACTGCTCAAACCCTGCCCAAACCTACGGGGGACATTTTACATCCAAACCACAGCAGTTATGTGGACCGTGATGTGAGCTTCTGTTTTTCTACAACTGAAAACTTGTAGGAGTCAGTTATCTCCTTCCATCATGTGGTCCAGAGGGTGAAACGCAGGCAGCCATGATTGGTAGTAAGTGCCTCTAAGCCATCATACTGCCTTTCAGTCGATTTTGTGTCTGTTGTTATAAAAAGCCTCAGGATTATGGGATCTTCATGGTATTTCTTTATCTCTGGGTTTACTGCAACTCTGTCCATTGTCTAACATCTGGGTGACCTCATCACCTTATTTTTACATGAAAAAACAGTGTTTCACACACCTCACACCCCTTTGGTTTACATTGAAACAAAGAATAATGATAGCATTTCAAAGAAAAATCCACTCAGTGTTTTCACAACCTTTGTGATGGCTTCTCTTTGTTGTCAGCTAACTGGGTCAAGAAATGTCTAGGACTAGAAATGCCCCTCTGTGTGTCTCTCAAGAGATGACTAGTGGAGTAGTGACTGGGTAAGGGAGCCCTATTTTGAGTGAAGGTGACACCATCTAACGACTGGCAGTCAGGGTGGAAGGGAGTTGCATCTATAGGCTTCTGGTTTTCGCAACTGTCTTACTTATTGTGATACAATACTAACAGAAGGAACTTAAGGGAGGAAGGGCTTCACATAAGAAATAGGGAACTGACAACAAATTTGAAGAGAAAAATATAAATTATAAAATATATTTTAATAGTTTTGTTTCGTTTAAGTCTTACCCTTTATCCCTTTTGTTTGATCTTCTTTTGATCTAGAAAACAAGGGGGGGATGTTTTATTTTCTTTCTTCTTTTTCAATGAAAAGATTTTCATATATTAAGACTGGATTTAGAACACAGGAATTCTCAATCTAGCTCTAAATTTTTAAAATATAAAGCTTGAAATGTTCTGAGACTTGGGGTTCCAACTGTTTCACTGAACATTAGTGTTGACAACAGAGACATCCAAGTCTCAATTCCTGCCATTTAGGTTGTGATGAGAAGAGAAATTGGCATTAACCACTACTTAAGGGAAGTAGCAGTTGCTCTTCTCCTGGTGATGAAAATTTCATCACGATAAGCAAGTTCCCTTGATGCTAATATAGATATGGCGGGCCCAACCGACAGGTGGAGCTGGCAAATGGATGCTCATTTCTCCCTTTTATGACTCAGTGTTACCATGAGGGAATGGGAGAACGTTTCCACAACACAGCTGTGAGGGATCTTCCAGCTCATCTATCAAGAGAACACAGTCTTTTACTCCCCTGCAGTTTGGTACCCAGGGGAGAGCTGAGCAGGAAATGGAAGATTCCGCTCAAAGTTCTTGGCTCTGCTAGAAACATGTTGTTTCTGGGATTGCCAGTTCTGGTAAGAGTCTGAGGAGTCATTCCCAGAATTCCCTAGTGTGTAGAGTCCTCCGACTGTAAAAGTGGGGAAGGTCTTATAGGGTCTTCATTCTATTCAGGGCCCACTGCAAGTCACTTTCCAGCATGCCCACCACACACCTCTGGTGGAAAAGACTCCAACTTTTGCGAGTCTCTTGATTACATTTATTCTTAACTTTTAAAAACTTTAACTTCACTTTGAGTCCGAACTTTCTCCTTTTGGATACTGATCCTTTTTTCTACAGATCCTCCTTCACTGTTTTGAAGGAGTCATCATCTTCAATAAGGTAATAATCTAAATATGTTAATAGTCCCTCCTGTGACAGGGTCTCAAGTGTTTTTACTTAGGGATAAAATGACTCATTTCAATATTCAGCACACAATCCACTCTTCACAGAGTAAAGTGGGCCTGTTAGCACTGATGAACTTATGGCTATACTGTTGGCTGTGATGCCTTACAGCAGAAAGGGACATTAAAGATAACAATGGCCATGTTTCTGTGCCATCTTCATTAGGGCGACAATACTATGCCTCTAGATACAGCAATAATTCATACTTTTAATTGCCTCCGGCAAAAGAGAAGTTTGGAAAGTCTTTAAGATAAACGTTGAATTTGTCACTTTGCCTAATCAGTCTGTGGCAATCTTCTTGTTTTCTAAGTAAGCAGGTACATATTTGAAACCATTCTTTAATCTTCTTCATCCTGGCTATCGCCAATGAAACATCTCGTTTCACTTTGTTCCTGTCACCACCAACTTGTCCCTGAGACCTTAGAAGTAATTAGATGTGGCGCTAGTGACAATTAATTCAACCTTGTACCCAGCTCAAATCCTCCATTAAGTCTCCTTAAAGCAGTTAAATTAAGTTGGTAGGAGGCAACAAGGAATGAAAGATTACACTAAATTGAAATATCACAACAATCTAAAGTGGGCGCTGGTATGTTTTTTGAAGATTGATTTGTTCTTTCAAGAGGGATGTAGATTTAATGCTCCGAGTTTAAGTTTCTAAGACAAACACAAATCTATGTCTTGAAGAAACTTCTTTAATTACATTAAGAGGGTCTTTAGCTTAGTCTACTTCAGGGTAGCTTCCAAGCATTCATGGAACTTCCGCTCCAGAGCAACATTTTCCCAAGTGTCTCAATAATTCTTGTAGCAATTTGAAACAGTTTAAACTTTACTTAATTACATGAAATGACTGAGTATATGACAGATTTGCAAATGGTTATAATACCTTGCAAAATGAAATCAAAATTATATAGACTTTCCTGTTGAATTTATGTTTAAGATACTGACTCAGAAATTAAAAGGAAAATAAAATATGGATGTCATAGCCGGTGCCAGTGCTTGGCACTCAAGTCTGATGACCTGAGCTGGGTTCCCAGATCCCCTAAAATCCTCCTCAGAACTCCACACACATGCTGTGACACATACTTACCATGCCTCGACACTAACACATATTAAATAAAGAGAGTAAGTAATGAAAAAAAATCATAGAACGGAGACAATAAATTCAGATGGAAAGACTATAGGGAATTTTAATTTCTTATTTGTCCTAATTCACATTTTCCCAGTTCTTCTCTATGAACCCACAAAACCACTCAAAGATAGAAGAGCTAGAATTTCACCTGACCTACTCTGTGTAAATAAAGGGAGAATCACAGCATATCAGTAATCACTTTCTCATGCACACGCCTTCCCTTGAAACTTGTCTGTGTATTTTAGCCACTGTGTTAGTTTCCAAGTCGCTGTGAGGGATACCTGAGAGGAGCAATCTGAAGAGAAAAGGGCAGGTTTCAGCTGACAGTTTCAGACTCTTCAGAAAGACACAACAGTGCTCGCTGTGCAGGGAACGTGAATCAGGGCCTCCTTATGCACTGGTGAATAAGGAAGCAGAGAAAGGTAGAACAGGACCAGAGCCAGCTAGAGCCTTCAAAGGCCTATCTATCTCTAGGGTCCACCTCTGCCAGTCCACAGCACCATTTAAAATTCCCACGGCCCCCTCCGGCAAACAGCCCAATCATGTGAGCAACCATTGTTTAAAACGTGAGCATGGCATAGTCATTTCAGCCCCAACCACAACACTCTACCCTAACTCCCCAAGCTTTGTGGCTGTCTCACAATGGAAAATGCATTGAGTCCAACTTCAAGAGTGTCTGTGTCTATAGCAGTGCCCCAGATTTAAAAAGTTCTAAATCCAAACCATAGACATTGCCTTATTGCCTTCGTGGTGAGCCCTTATAAAAACAAACAGGCAGTTCCATGCTTCTAATACACCCTCAGGGCCAGAAATTTCACAAGAGATATCATCCATGCCACGGCCTGCTGCTATTATTTGAAATAGTTCACCACTGAAAACTTCCCCAGCCATCCCTTCCCACAGAAGCCACAGCAGATGTTCTGGTCCATATTTTCTCCTCTTCTTGCATCAAAATCTAGTGCCTACTACATTGCCCACAGTGCTTCATTGTATGTCATGAACATTGTTCTCAGTGTCTCTGGGGTCTAGCAGGTTCTCACTCTAAACCCCTAATCTATTGAATCCACCATACGTGAATTACACAAACAGCGTCATAAAAGACTGCAGAAAGCCCTATTTTCATGTTATGATTCATATTTGTGAAACACTAAATTTCAGAACACAGTCTATAATGAAAGTCAACGGTGCTGACTAGACTATGATTCTGCTTGAGACTTTGTAGCCTGGTTGGCCAAAAGTTCATAAATGAATGCTCTTCCCTTACTAAGAGAAGACAATGTAGTTTATTGACAATGATGTGTGCAAAAATATTTTCAGTGCTTGGGGTTGAACTCATAGAGTCTTGCTTGTTAGACTAGGCTTGACACACTCAGTCCTATAAAAATTTAGTTAAAATGCAAATGTTCAAAAATATTAATATGTGTTTTAAAACACTGCAAAGATAAGAAGTTTGATGTTTCAGAAAAGATCTGCACTATCATCACGACTCTGAGTAAGAATTGACAACCCACATGCTAAAGGAGACTAACTTCATTTGTTTGTTTTTTCAAGACAGGGTTTCTCTGTAGCTTTGGAGCTGTCCTGGAACTAGCTCTTGTAGACTAGGCTAGCCTCGAACTCACCGAGTTCTGCCTGCCTCTGCCTCCCGAGTGCTGGGATTAAAGGCGTGCGCCACCACCGCCTGGCCAAGAACATCTCACATTAAAAACATAACTCACAAGTGAAGCAATGGATTAAAGAGTGGAAACACTAAAATATAAGTGTTCAAAAGCAACACTCTAAAAAGTTTTAAATGTCTAAAATAAATTCAGGCTGAATTTAAAAAAATGTTCAAAACTAACTCATAAAGCCTTGTTAATTTTCTCCACAGATGCTTGTTCCCTCAACATCCTTTCTTTGCCAGTATGTGACGTTCTCTGGGGCAGTTTCCAATCATTGCTGCTGTTAGCCAGCTAATCATCAGAGTCGTCAACATCCTGACCCCAGAGAGCACACAATTCCCTATCATCAGCCTCTGTGCACAATGCAGCCTCGGCAATGAGAGGAGTTCCAAACATCCCTGCATTCTCTGGCTCAAGATTGGCATCATGGGGAGGCTGCCAGGGCTCCAGGAGTGGAGCCAGGGGATCAGAGTGCCAAAGCCAGCAGGTGGCAACAGCCAGTAGCAGCTCAGAGAGGCAGATGAGTCTTTCCAGCACTCAGGACAGCCAACAGAGGTGGGAGCCAGTGCTGTTCTTGTTATCTGATGTATAGGTATTGTTATAAATGACATCAGAGTCCCTTGTACATTGCTCATTGGGCTTGTTAGCCAGGTGGCAATTTTTGAAGCAGCAATACTGCTCCAAGGAAAGCGTATGCTGTATAATTCAACTTAGATCTGAGGTCAATAAATTATATTCCTTTGAATAATGTCTTGAGCACACAATAATTAGGATTTCTGGTACTTATTCAATAGTATCTTATTAGTTGGTTAGTGCACCTTCCAGTGACTAAATCACAAGGAGACCACTGTTCTCAAGTCGATCAGAAAGTACTGCCTCACAGCTTAAACAATTGGAAACATACAATCTACATAGGACATTTAAGAATTAAAGCCATGAAAATTTGGTGATAGAATAAAGATGAAAACAAGGGAGTCCTACATATCATTTTCACAGACAATCTAAAACTCTAGTTGGTGGAGTACACAGAAGTCTAAGTGAAGCCAGGATTCTGTCCGTTTTACATATTCCTCAAATAGCATCCATTACAGACTGTGGAGTACAATTTTCCTTTCATTTTTCCTTCAAGAGGGTAAAATATGTTTTAAAGAAGTAAAAACTATTCATTCTATAACCCATTCTCAACCCCTTCTAAGCCTGAGCTAAGGGGGAAGCAGATGTGAAAACACATCGTTTCCAAGTTGGAATAAAGTTCAGGAAGTTGTAACTTCTTTCTGAAATGTTCTCTGGTGATGCAGGCTTAGCAGGACAACACTTGCCCAGTATGTACAAGGTCCTAAATTCAATCACCAACATTACCTAAAATAATGTAAATAAATAAATAAACAAATAAATCATCTAAGTCTGAAACGAGTCACATCAATAAGTCAATTGATACTTATGCTTGCCTATATCAACTGAATATTTTCTAGTACTTATATATTGAGTCTGCTCTTCAGGACTAAGGAACGTAATAATCTTGTTGACAAAGCAAAGTTAAACTAAAAAAAAATGCACCCCCACATTGAGGAGATTCTTTATTTGAGTTACAGACTCCCTGCAATAAGCAAAAAAGACAAGGGAAATTTGGGGTAGTCTATGAATGCCCTTTGTCTTAATTAGGCGTGGACTGCTGTGACAAACACCATGATCACAGGTAACTTTGGAGGAAAGGGAGTTGTCATCTTGCAGATTGCAATCCATCATTGAGAGAAGTCAGGGTAGGAACTTAAGACTGGAACAGGCACAGAGACCATGAAGACCCCTTACAGCTTACTGGCTTGCTCTTCATAGCTTGTTTAGCCTGCTTAAATATTGCATACAGGACCACATGCTCAGGGATGGCCTCATCCATGATAGGTTGTGCCCTTTCACGTCAATCACAAACTAAGAAAGTATCCTAAAGGATTGTTCAGAGACTAGTCCTATGAAGGCTTTTTTTTTCAATTGTGGTAGCGTCTTCTCCAATAACTCAAGCTTGTGTCAAGTTGACATAAAAATAGCCAACATGCTCCCCAAAGGAACAGTAGAAGGGCAGACTCTCGCATGGGTGGATCTTGATGGAGCCTCATCGTATAGATCCTTAAAGTAAGGATCAGAGCTTCTTATATTACAACACAATGGTGGTTACTGTAACAAATTTCAGTCACTGAGACCAATCACAAGCCAGGAGCTATATTAGGGTACTGGGAGTGTGATAGTGTGATAGAGTTTTAATTAGAGGATGGAACTTGTCAACGGCATATACATGTCACTGATTTCACTTAGTTCTTTGGGCTTGCTGTCTGTGCTTTGAAACCACCCGATGTATCCAAGGCAAATTTACCCAAAGCAGACCATATTGCTTCCGTTAAAACATCCTTGAGGCTTGCAATTTTATGAGGATAATGTTTATTTTTATGGACTTTATAAAGTGTAACTGCCTAGAAATGCAATATAAGTCATTCTTAATCCTCTTAACCCCCAGGAAGTAAGCATCTTAAGTATGTTTTATTGCATCCTGGGACTCAGTATATAGTTCTGAAGACTGTTGGAAGCCCTATATATAGAACCGTTTTGACTCTTTGGTCAAGAGAGTATGCGAACCATGACAAGTGGTGGTTTTCAGTTCAAAGAAAAGTCAAAATCATGCTGTTGGTGAATCTTGAACTAAATAGCTGATATGCAAAGTTTTGAAACCACATATAGGAGCAGTTTTCTTCCCCATACCATCCTGAGTACACACACGCACACACACACCCACACTCACACACACATGTACACACACACACTCTGCCACACAGATGCACATCAGTTCATCTTTTCCATGTCTGCACATATGTTTTATAACCGTGCCAGCATATACCAGAGCAGCCTTTCTCTTTATGCTATTTTCAACTTCAGCTTGTTTCATTGTATGCCACACAAGAAAGGTGGCTTCCAGACATTCTCCCTCTTGAGGGGCAGAGAGCGTTGCAGCGTGACAGCCATTTAACACGTTGCTTTGCTGTTTCTAAGCAGCATCTAGCACAACTTGTTTGGAACTGTGACTTCCTGGCTTTTGATTTATGCCATGTTAGGTTCCAGGGAGGAAAATAAAATAGAACATTCTGAGCCGACTTCCCCTCTGGTACCATTCTCAGCACATCTTGTTTAGTTCAGTTCTGAGGTATTTGGGCAAATGTTCATGCACGACTTACAGTTCTTACCCAACAATTCCTGGTGTGGTGGTAAAGTTCGGCATTGTCTTCCATATTTAACAATATGGCAGCTGCTATGAGTAGACCTAACTGTGTGTATGAAGAAATACAGTCATGCCTAGCACGCCTCCTTCCTTTCTGAACATGTTTCTATTTTTGAGAGAGCAGCTGAGGGGCTAGAAGTGAACTTGACTATGGATCACAGCTCAGTGGACACTGATTGTTTGAAGGATCCTGGGAGACCCATCTGCTAAATGGGACTAAAATTTCATCTCCTTCTGAGGCCCCTCTACCCACAACTCTTCATTCAAGATGGTCAAAAAGCCAAGTTTATATCATAATTAAAGTGGTTCAGCTTAGGCAGCTAAAGCATTTTCCTTCTGTCTCCAATGCTCCTAGATCCTTTCCTGGTGGATCTATTTTCTAATGCTTCTTCTACCTGAGATTTTCAGACTGTCTGGTGGTGGCTGCTTTGCCCTCTATCTGTCAGGCCTCAGATACTTCCTCCTCAGAGAGGTTTCCCTTCACCTTTGTGCCTCCCTCCGCTTGCACCCTCCACTGCCATATTTTCTATTACATTTCCCCACTTTGCTATCTTGAGAGCAACCATTAAAGTCTAAAAGACTTTGAATCTTTTGATTTGGGCTAATTCCTTTGCTTCCTATCATTTTGTCAGTTGCGCTGCATTGAAATACAAGCTTCCTATGATCGTGGGCCTTGTTAATGTGCAGTTGGATATGTGTTTGGCACAGAGTGTGTTCCATGGAAAATGAGTAAGTGGAATACTTGCTGCATTCTGATATCATTTTTGAGACACGGCTTTACACGTTCAGTCCCTCCCCAACTCCTTCCCTCCCTTGACTGTCACCCCTCAGGTTGAAGCAGAGGTCATGGAGAGAATGATGGGTAGTAGGAGAATTGTAGCTATGAAGCATTGGCTTCTGAGAATAAATAAAGCACATTGCACCAACCTCTCCCACATCTACTTACCCTGATGAAATTCTGTGCTTGCTGGAGGGCAGTGCAGCTTGTTGTGGATGGATTACCCAGGTGGCTCTGGTCTTCACGGAGAAGTGAGAATGCCACGGACTAGAAACCATCTGGAAGGAGAACAAGCTAGAGCCACATTGCCCTGGTGCTCTTCTGACTTGCCAACATCACCCGGTGTCTTCCCTACTACAGCAAAACCAAACACTGTTTGCTTCTTGTTATGAATGGATTTTAGCTGTGATCTACAGTATTTGACCTTTGTTTTGTATTTCAGAAATTCAAATTGTCCCAGTGAACACAGGGAAAGGTAGATTTCTACATGGGTGTGGACAGTGGCAGCACTCTGAGTTCCCTGGCTCAGGTAAGCAGAAGCGCAAGCGATATTCAGCATCCCCTGTACATGAGAGTGTGAGCAAAGGCAGTTAGAAACTGAGAAGGAAAGAGACGTCGTTAAGCCCAGCACACTATTGGAATCAGAGATGAGTGAAACAGTTGAACAGAAGCCAGTATCCATTGAAGTACATTGCATATGTGCAGATTTCTTAACACAGCATAACCTGACCTTAGATGCATCCTTTTTTTGGGTAGATATTTTATATTAGAATCTTTGCATGAGGTGGAGGGTTGCCTCTATGGGGAAGCACTTCTCTGAGGAGCCATCATTGGGCCCATCTGCTGAGGAGCTGAGGGGAATAGCTTCTGCCCTCCTGGCCTTGCGAATCCTCTGCATTAATAGAACATAAGAGCTTACGCAATGGCCTTGGATCCGTGGCAGCTGTTTGTTCAATGTTTCATGCTTTTAGTCACATCTGCTCCAAATGAGTGTTAATATTGCAGTGGCATCCACTAAGGATGGGCTCTGTCAGCTTTGCTGAAGATCAGTCTGACCCCTGCAACAATAGAAAAGGCACTTTGTCCCCAAATACCATCTTTTCAAACATTCATTTCCTCTTAACACGGGGGTTACACAATCCTCCCCCTCTTTATCTTTAGCTTTCTCC